TCGCCAGCATTACCATCCTCAACTTCAACCTCATCCTCAGCAGCAGCATCAAAACTTGCAGACGCATCACCATAGGCTGCATTCCTGTCATTATGACACCTCGAGAAGCTCCACCAGGGATCTCAGAAGCGTCGGAGCAACCCCCACCCTCATTCAGGCTGGTCTAGGCCCTGACCCCAGAGCCCGATCCAGCGAGCCCCATTGATGCCAAAGCTCCCCGCTGATCGACGGCCCGCTCGACCGCCACGACTCCGATCGGTCGACGGAAAAGCGGTCCGAGAGGGCCGAAAACCAACGGGTCGGGGCCTCTGGAGTTGGAGGGGCCCGCTTTAGGGGGGAAATATTGGCATGGAATTGGAGTCGGCTACACATCGCCGATAGATGGGCGACAGACCCCCGATAGTGAAACCGCACGGTCCTAGGCGGGGTGGACTGTCGGGCCCCTATCGGCGACCAATGGGCGATTGGGGGTCGATGCATCCCCCCCTGAACCTATCTCCCCTTAACGTTGCCCCTGAACAAGATGCAGGGTGCCGCCCAAGCCTTGCTGACGTCATGCGCGTCCCGAGATGCAACGTACGGATGGCCTTCGGCCGTGCGCGTGCGCACGCGCGCGTGGAAAGGTGTGCGGCTATCTCTCGGAGGACGACAAACAGCATGCATTTGCGTTGTCCGCTGTGCACAAACTGTCCCAGGGCGACTGAAGAGCTCATATCCCCAACAGCCTTGCCAGAGGAGCATAGAGATCCCAGCCGCCCTCGGATAGGTGCCGCCCCCGTCGGCGAAAAAACACCATCGAAATTCACGCAGGAAACGAAAGCAATTCGCCATCTGAGCAAAAGCGTCTCCAGCTAGAAGAAGTAAGCCCGAGCGTGAGCAACGCGTGGGCCATCCTGAGGCACGTTTCGGGCTGCCGCGGGACAGCTCTGGGCAACGAGAAAAAAGCTGTCGGGTAGCCAGTAAAGCATGAGGTAAGCATGGGGCGGCTCCGACCAGCTTGCTCCAGGTGCGCATGTGTCTACGTAGCGCACGTTGGAAAATGAATCGCCTTTCCACTCTGCTTACATGTTTACACATTCTTTACTGCGCACGGGCATCCGCTTTCTTGCTCACCGTTGATCGTGTACGACGGCAGGTCTTCACGCAAAATACCAGGCATGTGAAAAGAGAACCCCACGGCTTGCGTGGAAAAACGCCTGCTAGAAATAAGTTTCTGGCGTTCGAGTCTTCCAGACACACGCGTGAAATCGCCGCAACGCTGGCGCAGACTGCACGGGATCCACAAGCTGAGTGCTCATCGCAAGGACAAGGTTACGAATCCTTCGCACCCCTTGTAGAAGCAGCAATGAGTATGACCTGTGAGCGAGCAGGCACGAAGCGACGTAAAGGCCACACAGACAATGAATGGCATCCTACAACTACTAGCGACACCGTCCGCCTCCATGCAGAAGATGTCAACGAAGTTGTCCGCGCTTACTGTCGTACAGTGCACCTCCTTGAAACATACTTGGGGAGTTTTGAAGCACCGTACTTTAAAGGGACATGCAAGCGCGGGGCGATTTCACCTATATACATATATATATATATTCAAGAGAAAGCTGCGACAACGGCAAGCTCTAACTGACGCTTCGACTTCCGGCAGCCCCGCGCCCAGACGCCAACGAGAGACGAGTTGGTAGGGAAGGCGGATGAAGATTCGAAGGGGAAAGGTGGGAGAAGGAACGCGCAGGAGAGACAGCATGCCTACTGAGAGCCACGACAGCATGCCTACTGTTGTGGATGCCACGACAATGGACATCCCAACAGTCCTATCATTGAACTTGAAATGTGCTTAAAATTTCGGGGACGTGTTCTGAACATGCTCTAAACATGCTTAAATCCTGTCTGAACCATAATTAAGACATGTGTTGGACATCTGGAAACGATTTGGCAAGATGCTTCCTCTCCATTGATCGTCCTCCACAAGATGAGAAGGAGAAAGGTGAGAGCAGGAACGCGCAGGAGAGGCAGCATTGCCTACTGAGAGCCACGACCCCACGCAGGAGGGCAGGAACGGAGGGCCAGCGGCGAAGCGCCGCCTGACAAGCAGTCGAGGTCGAGCGCATCCCTGGCACGCCCGCTCCGGCTGCAATTACGACGGGCACGTCCCCCCTACGGGCGGGCTGTGGACGAAAGATTTCAAAAAATAGTCAAAGAAAAAGAAGCCAACAAAAATCAAACATGAACAAAAAATGGTGAAAAACATCGTCCCCGGGGCATTGTGTGATTATCTTGGAATCTCCTCCTGTAGAGGGACGGGCCCGACTTAAGGCTACATGCCAGTGCACCCTATCTCGTACACTGGCACCTGCTGGACTGGTCACTGCCAGTCGCCCGCGACGGCTAGTCCGCACACACCATTCGGCTGCACGCGAGAGCGACCCCAGGCACGAGTCATCTTTGATGCGCGGATTTCGGGGGCATCGCGGGGCCAAACCTGAGCGCGCAGGCCGCTGCTTACGCGTCTTATT